AGGTCATTTTCACTATTTTACTTTTTTTTTCTTTCACCATTTTACTATTTTTCTTTTTTCTTTTAAGAAATAGCAAAAAAAAAAAAAATTCTTTGGGGAATAAATTAATAAGTCCATTTGGTTTAGAAACTAATTTTTTTTTGTCCTTTTGGCCCATTTTCATTGACTTTAGCAATTTCCCCCTCCTTTTTATTTATTTTCTTGACGTCGTCCATTCTTCGTTAATGCATCGTTCTCCAATGAATAGACTCTGCAACCTTCATTGTCGTAGAGGTAATATAATTTGTTGACTAATTTATCTTCTTTCCCAACTATTAAAGTATTTATAGGACTATTATTATAGTTAATAATTATAATATATTATCATTATATTTTACAAAAAAATAGTAGTGTTTTTTTTTTTTTTTGGTTTTTTTTTTTAACATTTGGCCTCCTTTTTTTTTTTTTCAGTTTCTATATTTGTAGGACTATTATTATATGGTCAAATATATTATTTATGTCCTTTTTTATTAGAAATATATTTTGTTTAAATAATAAAATTATTTATAGTTAATAATTATAAATCATTATCATCATATTTTACTAAAAATATCAAACAAATATTATAAAATAGTTATTTATATTTTGATTGTGAATATTGTATTTATGTAGTGCTTTTTTGTTTTTTGTTTTTTTTTTTTTTAACGTTTGGCCTCATTTTTTTTTTTTTTAGTTTCTATATTTGTAGGACTATTATTATATGGTCAAATATATTATTTAGGCCCTTATTTATTAGAAATATATTTTTTAAAAAATAATAAAATTACTTATAGTTAATAATGATAATATATTATCATTATATTTTACAAAAATCAAATAATTATTATAAAATAGTTATTTGTATTTTGATTGTGAATATTGTATTTATTGTACAATATAATACTTGTTTTTTTTATTATGATATAAATAACATATTTATATATTATTTTACCAATTTGAATATATATAAAAATTGATAAGTATTTTAGCAATATAATATATTTGATAATTATACCATATAATTAGATTAATAGTACATTGTATTAGTTAAATATTATTTTAAATATATTGGTATAATAATATAATATTTATTAATAATTATTCATTTAAATATCGGATAACAGTTGTTCCCCTTCTATATAAATAACTTTTTTTTATATTTTTTTATCATGAAATTAGGTGTGAAAATATAAAAAGAAGATCATTATTTTTTTATTTTACGTATAGTTTGATTGTAATAGAATATATATGATATTTTTTAAAAAATTTTATTTTGAACATATATATTTGATTATATTATTTTTATTACTTAAAATTTATTTCTTCAATTATTTATTTCTTATTAAAATTCTCATTGAATTAATCTTTAAATTTTATATGATTTTATTTGTCAATAAATTGGATTTTTTCAATACATGGCTTTTGAAATAAAAATTTAAAACTCGATTGTTTTATTTTTTTTAAATGTATTATTATAATTTATATGATTGATTATTTTTATGATTTTTCAATGAAAATGACATTGTTGCATGTATAAATTTTGATGAGAAAGAGAGACCTAGAAGTGTGTTTCGGATATTATAATTATTCTAAAAAAAACTAAAAAAACCAGGGTTTTCTCTGTTTATTTACTCGTAGTGTTTTATTGATTTATTTATTTTTAGTTCTAGCTCGGAGAAGCGAGTTCCGATAGCTAGCCCGGCTCATTTTACTGTAGTTTTTTTTTTAAGTTGGCATGGAGAAGCATTTCCTTCTTCTTTTTTTTATAGGGTTGGCCTAGAGAAGCGAGCTTAAGCATGCCTACACAAGTAGTCTCAACCATCGTTTGCCTTCTTTTTTTTTCTTCTAATAATTTATTTTTATATTTTTATTATGAAATTATGTGTGAAAATATAAAAAAGATTGTTATTTTTTTTTGCGTACATTTTTATGGTAATAGAATATATATAATATTTTTAAAAATTATACTTTAAACATATATATTTGATTATATTATTTTTATTGTTTAAAATTTATTTCTTCAATTGTTTGTTTTTCATTAAAATTCTCATGAAATTAATTTTTTAATTTTATATAATTTTATTTGTTAATAAATTTGATTTTTTATATATGAATTTTGAAATAAAATTTTAGAACTTGATTGTTTTATTTTTTAAAATATATTAATATAATTTATATGATTGATTTTTTTATATATAATTTTTAAATGAGAGTAGCGTAATTGCATATATAAATTCTAATGAGAGAGAGAGAGAGGCTAAAAGTGTGTTTTAGATAATTTTACTTACTTGTTTTAAAAAATAATAATCGGTTAAAAAATTAATTTGACTCGATTTTTTTAAAATTAATATATATACCAACCGGGAGTGATCCTGTTCTTTTTTTTTCTATAATTTATTTTATATTTTTAAAAGTCTGGCCACCAATCTTATGATAGAAAAAAAATTGGCTAATTATTTTAAATCTTGATGTGTTTTAGGATTGCATCACCAAGAGACCAAAGGAAACCCTTAAAATAATATACATATTGTCATAGCATAACTGGATATCCAACAAGTGATGTACATGTTAAGCGATCATATATAATTGGTTCTTTCATCGGGAAAGAAAACATATATATTATTGGTCCCTTTAACGTCCTCCGAACCAATATTAATTATATATTTGACATTGATGCTAACATACATAACAACTTATTTTATTCTTATTGTTTAAAATCTTTTTTTTTAATTATTTGTTTCTTATTAAATTTCTCATTAAATTAATTTTTTGATTTAATTTTATTTGTTAATGAATTTGGTTTTTTAATACATGAATTTTGGAATAAAATTTTAGAAACGTTAATTTTTTATTTTTTAAAATATATTATTATAATAATTTATACAATATATTATTTTTATATTTTTAAGTGAGTTTTACACACACACACACACACACACACACACACACACATATATATAGAGAGAGAGAGAGAGAAAGCTAAAATTATGTTTTAGATGGTTTAGCTCAATTTTTTTTTTAAAAAAATAATGAGTTCAAAAAATTCATAAGTTTTATTTGCTTATATATATATTTATTTAGAATTTATCATAACCAATTTTATTGTAGGATTTATTTTAATCTATTCACTTCAATATATTTCTACAATTTAGGTGGTTTTTTTCTATTTATTCTATATATGTATGTATATGTATTTGTGTGTGTGTGTCATTAGTTTATTTACAAATTAACTATATATAAAGTCGATTTATATTAATCACCAAAAATAAAATTTTCTACTTACACTACACCATACGAATCGTTAACCCTATGTATGTAATGGTCATCTCGCCCGTAGCATAGTTCGGGTATCAAACTAGTTATAAAGCAATATAATTTTTATTAGTTCTATCTTTGAATACTATTTTATTTTGAGTTTCAAGTCTTATAAATAATGAAAATTTGTTAGGATATAAAAAAGTAGCTGAAATTGTTTTACATTTGAAAGGACGTGCACTATATCCTCAATCTTTTAGATGTGTTAGAAATAACAATATATAGAGTAAATTTATATATGTTTGTAATTGGTGCATATAATTAGACGATACAATGGTGCGCAATATCCCAACATTCCGTGCCAATTAAAAGATAAACAATTTTAAGTAAGCAACATTAGCCCTTGATTATCTACGGGAAAAACAAACAGAGCCCTTAAAATTGATCAGTAGGGTTAAGGGGTGGGGAGAAATTTTATAATATACAATAAGTAATAATGATATGTACAGTAGTTACTTTATAAATCCACTTTGAGGAGAGAGATAGACGCATTAAATTATACGCAGATCCATAAAAAGTAATAAGAAGATTTTCATGTTTGTTCAATTTTTTTTAATTTTCTCTCTTCTATTTCTCTCTCTCTCTCTTTTTTTTTTTTTTTATCTATCTCTCTTTTCAAAATATGTCTATAAAATAATTATTATACACAATATTAGTTGCTCTCTTTATATTATAAAATTTCTCGATAAAATTAAGATAAATTTCTCAAAGAGGGGTGTGTGCGCGCGCTTGCGCGTGTCCAGTGAGAAACGGCTAGGATTAAACAAAGACCCGAACACTTCCAAGTTTGGGTGAAATTTCTGAGATATATACATATGCGCGCGCATGCATTGTAAGTAGAAGATAAATTTCTCAAAGAGGGGTGTGTGTGCTTGCGCGTGTCCAGTGAGAAACGGCTAGGATTAAACAAAGACCCGAACACTTCCAAGTTTGGGTGAAATTTCTGAGATATATACATATGCGCGCGCATGCATTGTAAGTAGATCCGATGTTCGCGTAAAACATGTACTAATTAAGATAAATTAATGGAGACGCGTGTACGTCAAATGCATGGGCGGCTAAATTTCTACATGCAGTTCACCTGGCCTCTTTTCCTTTATATTCAAATTAATTAACGACCCAGTTTTATACCACTTTGTAGTTTCTGTAGCCTATCTGCTGTTTAAAAAAAATAAAAATTGGTGCAAGTCCTTGTCTTTCCTGACTTTACGCTGGCTAGGAATACTATTTTTAGACTAGCTCTTACGTACTGTTTTTAAATTCACTTTTCTGATTAAGTCAAAATAAATTATTCATATCGAAATTAAGAGATTCATGATCCTCAAATTTTTAAATATTAGTGATGATGGAGGAAGCATACCTTTTAATGTCATCAGCTACGTGTTTAAACAATATTAAATTAAGCAGCCATCACCTTGTGACTTTCTTGGATCCTCGTATGCGAACCATTGTCTATTATGATTAATTATCTTACTGGCCCCTCCTTTGTCTATTTATCTCTTTGTTACTATCGACACAGTCCACCTAAACCGCGTTATGCATAGACAGCCCTCCAGTAATAGATATAGTAGCATGACTATATAGCTACCAGTATATATACAAGTCATAGCAGCTACTCTATCTGTGCAGCTTTCTTAAGAGAGAGCACTCAGAATCAATAGAGAGAGATGACTAAGATGACTAAGGTTCAAAATATTACACATGCATTCTTCCTTATCTGTTCAATAACACTTAATGTCTTAATGATTAAGTTGTTTTTTGGTGGTGGATGGGAACAAAGATGGACAAAATTGGCCGTGGAAGAAGCCGAAACTGTTGCATCTATTTCTTGCTCAGGCCATGGGAGGGCATTCTTAGATAGTTTAGGTGTTGATGGTAAGCCCATTTGTGAGTGTAATGCTTGCTTTAACGGTCCAGATTGCTCAGAGTTTATTCCTGATTGTGTGGTAGATGCAGACAGGTAATTCATCATTTAATCAGTAGTCTCTGGCTAGATCTCATGTAAATTAAATTGTTCTATCAAATTTATCATGATTATCTTTTCTAACATTCTGAGGCAATGTTGGATGCAGTGGAGATCCCATGTTCTTGGAGCCCTTCTGGCTGAAGCATTCAGCTAGCAGCGCTGTTGTGGTTCCGGGATGGCATCGTATGAGCTACGAATTCAATGATGGTTCTCTCGTCTCAGAAGAACTCAAAATGCACATCCGCAAACTGCATGCTACTGTAGGAAATGCGAACACAGATGGAAGATACATGATTTTTGGTGCTGGGGCAACCCAACTTCTTAATGCAGCAGTGCTTGCCCTTTCCTCTCATGATGATTCATCTTCTCCTTCAAGGATTGTAGCTTCAGTCCCATTCTACCCAGTAAGTTTTTTCAACTACAAAATCATTCTCTCTCTCTCTCTTTTTTTCCGTAGTAATCACTGCTGTCGTTTACTGACATCAATACAACTTCTATAACAGGTTTATAAACAGCAAACGGAGTTTTTCCAAACTGAAGATTACAAGTTCAATGGAGAAACTTCAAGGTGGAAAGACCATATGGATTACTCGAGTAACTATATTGAGTTTGTGACTTCGCCAAATAATCCTGACGGTCAATTGAAGAAAGCAGTTCTTCAAGGGCCATCAGTAAAGACGATCCATGATCTTGCCTACTATTGGCCTCATTTTACATCAATTCCGTCTCCAGCTGACGAAGACCTCATGATATTTACACTTTCTAAGCTTACCGGCCATGCTGGTAGTAGATTTGGGTAAGTATCATCAGACCACCAGTATATGTTGGCAAAACTGCAAATTTTTTCTTCCACAAATACTGTTTCCGTGCATTAATATTTTGATATAATTAATTATCAATGTTTTGCTGACAATTGAATTTCTTTTTCTTTTTGTTTCTAAAGGTGGGCACTTATAAAGAATGAGGCCATATACCAAAGAATGCTAGCATATATGAGTCTAAGTACATATGGTGTTCCTCGTGAAACTCAATTACGAGTTTTGAAGCTTCTAAAAGTAGTCCTTGAAGGGAAAGGAAGGGAAATGTTCGAATTCGGATATGAAACAATGAGAAATCGGTGGAAAAAACTGAGCAAAATTTTATCTATTTCAAAACGATTTTCTCTCCAAGACCTTGAGTATCAGAATTGTTCCTTTTCCAAAACAATCAGAGGCCCTTCTCCAGGTAAATGTCACTTAAAGCTGGTTAATTCCAACTTAAAATTTCAAATATTATCACCTGTGAAGCTGTGACCTGGTTTTCTTTAATTCTTATTGCTTCACGCAATATTACTGCCATTTTACTTGACAGATGTATCATTCTTGCTTATTGTTGCAGCATTTGCTTGGCTGAAGTGCGAAAAAGAAGAAGATAAAAAATGTTTTGATGTGCTCAAAACAGCCAATATCATTGGCCGCGAAGGTAGCCTGTTTGGTGCAGAAAGCCGTTTCGTACGCCTAAGTCTTCTCCAGAGACAAGATGGCTTCGATTTATTACTTAAGCGAATGGAAAATTTAGTGCTTGAAGAAAATCAGAAAGGACATTTTGAAGAAAATGGAAGCAGAATCAATAAATCAATGATATTTGACGTTGGACACAGTTTGGATCCTAGGCTTGGTGCTTATTACACCGATGAATTAATGGATGCAAGCTACCTATTCCTAACGAACCGAAACCCTTTAACCTTTATGTAAATATTTTCTACATTTCCGATGTATAAAAAATAAAAATTACTTGATTAACTATAGCTAGAAGATTATAAAATTTGTTCTGTACGTATCAACATCCATGGTGATAGAACGTCCCTCTTTTACATCTCCACTAAAGATCCCCGTGGCTAAGTTGTCCTCCAAAAGCCTCACAATTTCTCTCTTCAATGGCCTAGCTCCATAGCTAGTGTTGTTCCCTTCTTCTATCAGTTTCTCCGTGAATTTATCTCTAACTACTATAGTTTTATCTTCATTGCCTGAAGACTTGCATAAACTTCTCTTACCATTATTTTAATTAATTTTTAAATTAATCAAAATATTAAAATAGATTTTATGAGTGTTGGGGTTATTGATGTACGTATGTAAGTTACTCCATGAAACTTACTTTGAGAAGAGAGATGAACATAAAAAATAAAAAAGACATCTATACCCATCAAAATGATAAAAAAGATTTTCATATCCTCTTAAACTTTTTTTTTTTTTGTATTTATCTCTCTTATCAAAATGAGTCTCATACAATAATTATTATACATGTCAATAATTAGTCTCAGAATATTATAAAATTTCTCCACTTGGCAAACCTTTGCGTCTATTTACAGTTACAGCCTCTTCTATTTTGTATAGAGAATACCCATGCTGTCCTCGCATCCCATCATTTATATTATTTTAATCATTTATTTATTAGAAATAAAATGAATCCGTCACCACGACGCCGTAGTCACCCCGTCTGATGCACTACACTCCAAGGTCTGAAACAGAGAGATTTGGGTGAGTAATTGAAGGGAAATTTGTCAGATATGGCAGAAGAGAAAGGTAGAAGGAGAAAGAGAGGAAGGAAGAATAGAGGAAAGAAAGAACTGAGGGAATATTTCTTGTTATTTCTCATCATTTCATCATAGACAGATTCTAACAGAATTGCCCAGCTCATGCAAAGCATTTCTAACAAACTCATCGTTCCTTTTTTGTAACAAACTATAACAATACTCTTTGGCTCTATATGTAATCATCCAACTTGTGTGGTTTCTTAGGCATACGGTGGCTTTTTCTCTGGACCTGAGGAGGATCTGATGGAAGCCTACTGGTAGTGAGGTCCTGGCTTGGGCTTGCACCACCGTCCAAGTTCAACCGTTGCAACCATATATACGCAATCCCTACTGCAGATTGGAAACCCCTGATATGAATTAGATCGCAAACTAGGCCATGAAAATCATCACCGTCAACAATTAACTATCGTCCCTATCTAAACCCTCACTGCGCTCAACCGCCCAAATAGCACCTGTGGCAACTTCCACCATGGATCCCAGACCGCAAATCTCCATGTGAAACCCAAATTGCAAAAACCCAAAAATTCTTTACAGCAACCATCACCTACATCCAACCCAGATTGCAAATCACATTGACTACATCATAAATTTGCTTTTGGCGAGGTAAGGACTTTTTTGTTGTTGATGCAACAAAGCAAAAAAGACAGAATAGTGAGGTTGAAATTTTTGGCATGATAGTTACATTGAAATTGGGATTTTTAGTCATAGATTTGTCTAGAAGAGGAAGGGCAGGGAAAATAAAGGCCTAAGCCGCCGAACGTGTGGTGAGGAGATGAACCGGAGAGGAAAGACGGTAAAGAGGGAGAGAGAAAAATTATATTCATGTAACTAAAACAATGGTTTAGCTTTGGGGATACGAAGGACAATTTGGGTTTTTCGTCAGTAAAAAATGTATAAACAGCTTTACCATTAGACATAAAAGGGGTGTCAATAGCTCCTCCAATGTATATACACGCGAGTTGATAAGTCCAAGCTCAAAAAGAAGTTTTTTGGACAAACATCAAATATACCGTTAAATCATAGCAGTATTATCGATTTTATACTTAAATATACCATCAAATATACCATAGTCCGTTACATTATAAAAAAGAAGTTTTTTATATCAAAATTTCATTTTAAATTATTTTTATTTTTTATACCATGCATTTTTTATCCCTATAATAATTTTTTATTGGCTTTTAGTAAAAATTTGTGTTTTTTTAATTCTTATTTTGTGATATATTTTTATTTTAGTTATTAAAGTTTTATCATGTTTGATTTTTATCTATGCTATACTAAAACTAAATAAAGTTTACTATCCTAAACCTTTTTGGTACTATTCACTTTTTTTTTTTTTTTTACCTTCACAATGTACTATTCACTCTTAGGTTTTTTTTTTTTTTTTCACTCTTAGTTGTTTTTCTTTTTTTTATTAGGTTTTTTTTATAATTTTCAAATTATTTCGTTTTGATCCTTGAAATTTTAAAATAAAAATTTTAATCCCTAGCTGATTCACTTTATGCCTTTTCTTTGATTTTTTTTAATCAATTTATGCTCTTTATTTATTTATTTAATTGGGTCTTAAAATTTTTAAAAATCAATCGTTACTTTTTTACCACACAAATCGACGATTATATAATATATATAAATTAGATATATGTACTTTTAAAAAAAATCTTCTCATCAACATTAAATAAGAATAAAATTTTATTTTTTTATTGATTAATTTTTATGCAAGTCTATACATTAATTGTAACTTTATTTTTTTGGTTATATACTTATAAAACAATATATTTTTAAAGTATTTATGTTTAAATTCTTAATTAATATTTCAAATTTAAATTATATATCACCAGTTTTTATTTAGGAATCCCTAAATAAAGAAAAATAAATCATATTTTTTGAAATAGAAATTTTATGAAAAACAAAAAAAAAAGTAATAATTAAATAAAAAATTAATGACAAAAATTATAAAATTTTGAAATAATTTTGTTCTATCTACCCGTAATATTGCACGGATAATTTCAAAAATTAATCTTCTCGTCAACAACTAATAAGAAATTTTTTTCCCATTTGTTAGTTTTTATAAAAGTCTATCTATTAATTATAACTTTATATTTTGAAATACAATATTATGAAAAATATATTTTAAAAGTTTTTTTAATTTTTTATTAATATTTTAGTTAAAATTAATTCATAAATAAGAATGATTTATGTTTTTTTAGCAAAACAATTTATATAAAAAACATTAAATAAATTAATTAAATAAAAAAATATAATTAAAAATTTTTTAAATGATTTTATTTTAGCATATCCGTAACGTAATGCGGGCAACCGGCTGGGACCAACTAAATGAACTTCTTGCTATAGCTAGAACATTATAACATTTCCTTTTGGATCTACGTCTAAAGTGACAGAACGTCCCTCTTTTACAGCTCCATTCAAAATCCCTTCAGAAATGTTGTCCTCCAAAAGCCTTACAATGGTCCTCTTCAATGGCCTAGCTCTAAAGCTAGCGTTGTTCCCTTCTTCAATTAACTTCTTTTTGAATCTATCTGTCATTTCTATGTTGATATTTTTTGCCTTTAGCCGTCTGAAAACATCCGTAAGCATCAGGTCTGCAATCATTTTTCAGCTGTACTTCGTTAAACTTTCGGAACACAATCACTTCATCTATTCGATTCAGGAACTCTGGCGTGAAATTTTTCTTCGGTTCATCAGCTACTTTGAGCTTGACATCGTTGAAACTTATCTCATCTTCCTGGACAATCAAACTACTACCGATATTTGAGGTCATTATAATGATTGTGTTTTTGAAGTCCACCTTACGTCCTTTATCGTCAGTCGACGTACCATAATCTAAAATCTGAAGAAACACGATTAGAAACATCTTGGTAAGCCTTCTCGATCTCATCAAAGAGAACCACAGTATGAGTTCTGCGGCGACCAGCTTCAGTCAACTGGCCACCATCATCATAACCTATATAGTCAGGAGGTGATCCAAAAAGCTTTGATACAGAATGTTTTTCCATGTATTCAGACATATCAATTCTGACAATGGCTTCTTTGGAGCCAAAATATACAGCAGCCAATGCCTTGGCCAGTTCTGTTTTGCCTACGCCAGTAGGACCAGTGAATAAAAAGCTAGCAATTGGCTTGTTGGGGTCTCTTATGCCAACTCGTGCTCGACGAGTAGCACGACTAACTGCCTCTAGAGCTTCTTCCTGTCCTACAATGTACTGGAGCAGCTCTGCCTCCATGTTCAAGAGTCGATGAGATTCTTTATCAGCGACTTTATCAAGAGGAATTCCTGTCATCGTGGAAATCACAACTCGTATGTCCTCTTCAGTCACGACCTGTTTCTTTGAAGTCGATTGCACTCGATGCAGCTGGACTCTGGCACCAGCTTCATCAATCAAGTTAATGGCCTTATCCGGAAGAAAGAGATCGCTGAAACATGTCGAAGTGCATATGTTCTTGTATTCAAAATCTAGCTGAACATGAATTAACATTTAAATATATTCCAAGTTGATGAGAAAGAGATTGAAAACATAAAATGCAATCTGATATCTGATAGATTACAGGAAAGATAATTAAGTGTAAATTTTGAACTAAGAAAACCTGACCTTATGTATTGATTTGATAAATGAACTGCTGCTACTAAAGCCGCATCTGTGTATTTAACATCATGATGAGCTTCGTATTTTCCACGCACTCCTTCTAGTGTCTCTATCGCCTCATCAATAGATGGCTCAGGCACATCCACAGGCTGAAAACGCCTTTTAAGTGCTCTATCTTTTTCAATGTACTTTCGGTACTCATCAATTGTAGTGGCACCGATACACTGCACAAAAGACAGAAGAAAATGACAACGTATTCAGATTTAAGAAATTGTAACTCCGAATATAAATTCCAAATGGACAGCACAAATAGGAACTGATTTACATTTAGATCGCCTCTAGCAAGAGCTGGCTTTAGTATGCTAGCAGCATCTAGTGTCTGGTCCTTGCCTGCTCCAGATCCAACAAAGGTATGCACTTCATCAATGAAAAGAATTATAGCTCCATCACTTAGTTTAACTTCATCAACAATCCCTGTCAACCTCTCTTCAAAATCTCCAACAAATCTGGCAGCAGCAGTTAGACGCGCCATATCCAAAGCAAATACCTGAATAACACAACGCGATTTGAGTACTTACTACTTCGGTAAAAATTATTAGACCCGAAAAGACATAAGATAGACCATCTTCTTTATACTAATAACTAATATCAACTGTTATGAATGCTGTAAACGAGCTGTAAAATTACCTTCTTTCCCTCAAGTTTTAAAGGAATAGTGCCATTAACGATGTTTGCTGCCAGGCCCTCAACAATGACAGTTTTCCCGACTCCAGGATTACCTATAAGACATGGCTTATTCTTTCTTCTTTTGCAAAGTGTTTGCGTGACACGCTCAATCTGTTTTTCCCTTCCTACGACTTGGTCCAACTTGTCCTGTAAAATGCCATTTAAACGAAGCCCAAGGGGCATAGCTAGTTAGAAATCATTGGTTCCACAATAACATGTGAGAAAACGACATCAGATTTTTACCTCTTGTGCCATTTTTGTTAAATCAGTGCCATACTTGTTTAGCATATCTGCCTTCAAAGATTGCTTCTCCTGCAGCCTTTCCATTGTAAATGCAAAACGAGATGACAAATAATCTTTCTGCTATATCAAAACACCATTTGCTTGCTCTCATATAAATTAGAACCCTCATTTCCCTAATGATCCCAATGCAGCATTGACTACCTAACCACTTCCCAAAGAAGTTGCTTTCACTTCCCTAGTTCCCTTTACACTTTCTTGCTGCCTCTTTTCTTTTTAATATCTCGATCGACTTTCATAAAAAAAAAAGAAATAAATAAATAAACAAACAAATAAATATACTGTCAAACCACTTCCCGAAGAAGTTGCTTTCACTTCCCTTTACACTTGCTCCCGTCGCGTATCAAACCATTAATGAGAAAGGTTACAGCTTCCCAAGAGCTCAATTCATGCCTAGGTGCTTTAACTTTAATTAATAGCCAGTGATGTTAAATTTCTACTCCAGTGCCATACATGTCATGTACCCTGGCTAGGTTTTCTTCCAGAGAAGTCGCATTTTCTCATAACCATCCTAACCTACATTAGAGCATTTCTAATGCTCTCTTTATATTAAGATTTTTCTTTATAATAAAAAGATTTGGCTCAAATTTCATATCCAATACTCTCTTTATCACAATCTTTTATCTTTAAAATTAAAATACAGAGTGTCTTTGACTCTCAAATACTAGAGAGTTCAAATGACTCTTTATCTTATACTTCATTAATGAAAATTACTATTTTCTATGCCATTTAGTCTCTTCACTAATAATCTCTTTAGGTTTTATAGATTTTGTCAAAATAAAGAGTTAAAATAGAGAGTAGCATAAGAGAGGACATCGATCTTCAATATATATAATTAATAATGCTCTTTATTTATATTAAAAATACTAACTAAAAGTAAATAACACAATTGAAGAGGCTCTTAATTACCTTCGCTAGATATACTAAACCAACATATTTTTCAACACGAAATCCGTACAATTTCTTCTTTTCTGAACCAATATCTAAAATTAATTACCTTCGCTAGAACACCTTCTTAATATAGACTGGAGACTCGTGGAATCTGGCCTGAGTCTACAGGGGCTTGTTATAGTGAACATGTCTTAAATGGGGCTTTTTTTTTTAATGGTGCCGTTTTGGGTTTTTTTTGTAAAAAAAAAACCCTAGACAGCTACCTTTTTTGTCAAAGAAAAATAAGTTGTTTTTTTTTTTTTTTGCAGATATGAATTTGTTTTATTCCTTCGTGTTTGATTTTTTATAAATATGAATTTATTTTTATCCTTAATTATTATAGAACGATCTCTCAAAATAGAAAGAAGAAAGATTTTTTTTTTTAAGCTATTAAGGTTAAAAAAACTATTTTAAAATGCTTTTACAGATTAACAAAACTAAAGTAAAACGTTATTTCACTATAAATTCACTATTTGAAACACTATGCATACATTTACATTTCACTATTTATCCTTCACATTTCACTATACGTGTCATTATTCATAGCTTTTTTTATGTTTTGGTCCTTAATGTTTTCGAATACATATTTTGATTCACATGTTTATTTTCTGATCCATTTTGATCATTGGATGGAGAGAGAAGGTCGAGAGGAAAAGAGAGAAATATGAGAGAAAGATCGTCGGTCAAGCTTATTTAAGCTACTCGATCGATGAAAATCCACTAGATTTTTTTTTATCTTTGAGAGATGAGTTTGTCAATAGTGATTTCAAGCCATTAAACAATTAGAAGAGGTAGATTGAAGTAAAAAAAGAAAAAAAAATGATTTGATTTTGTTCATTATATAATATGTGTGTGTGTGTGTGTGTGTGTGTGGAATTAGGTGTGAAAAACATAAAAAATAAATCTTTATAATTTTTAGATAATAGAATATATATGATATTTTTTTAGATTTTAATTTAAACATATATATATCTAATAATATTACTTTTATTGTTTAAAATTTATTTCTTAAATTATTAGTTTCTTATTGAAATTCTCATCATATTTATTTTTGATGTGATTTTATTTTTTAATAAATTTAGTTTTTTGGTATATGAATTTTAGAATGAAAATTTAAAATATCAATCTTTTATTTTTTAAAAATATATTATTATAATTTATACAATAAATTGTTCTTCTTTTTTAAAATGCGTTTTTTATTTTTTTAAATATATTATTATAATTTATAAATTCGGAAAGGGAAAGAGAGATAAAAATATGCTTTAGATAGTCTGTCTTGTTTTTTTTTAAAATTAATAATCAGTTAAAAGAATTCACAAGTTTTATTTTTTTACACACACACACTAATATATATATATATACACATCGCAGCGTAGCGCGAGTATCTTATACTTTTTTTTCAACTTCAAACTTTAATTGTATTGTAATTTTGTCTCATTTTATTTTAGTGTTTTTTTATAATTATTTTTATTATTTCAAATTTGCTACTTTAGTTTGTCATTCTTCTTTTAAATTCTCATCCAATTAATTTAAAATTATATGGTCCTCAAATTTTCTATACAAAATTTTTTAAAAAATTTAAACTTTAATTGTATTATGATTTAATCCCATTGTTGTTTTAATATGTTTTTTTAATTTTTTTAATATTTAAAATATATAACTTTAATTTGTCATTTTTTTCAAATTCTCATCCAATTAATTTCAAATTATATTTAATGATAGTTTTGGTTTATTTTAATATTATTCATTCTCCAATTAATTTAAATTTATATGGCCCTCAATTTTTTTATACAATATATATTTTTTTTAATTTCAAACCTTAATTGTATTGTGATTTTGTTGCATTTATTTTATTTATTTTGTTGATTATTTTTATTATTTAAAATTTATTTTTTTAGTTTGTCATTTTTTAAAATTCTCATCCATTGTATTTAAAATTACATTAAAATATTTAAAATATTTTTTCATTTTTGATTTCATATATTTTTATAAATTCACATCATAAAAAAAGCTATGAAATTAAAATAATTTTATATATTTTATCTAACTCAAACGTTTTGAGTGCAAGTAAAAAATCTAGTTTTAAACTAAATGGACGTAAAAAGGGTTTAGAATGTTATATTTGGGGAGCCAAAACCAACAGCTTGATTTTCCGTCGTCTTTCGAGTGACATTTGGTCGTTTAAAGTTGTAGATGTGCAATGCGTCAATTCTCGCGAACGAACGATAGGTCGTCCCACTTTTTTTCAGACTAGATTGTGCTTGTCCAGCCCTAAACACGTGGGCATAGTAGTTTCCAGGCCCATTTGTGCATCTTGGTACGCGTCCCGACCCAGCTTTCTTTCTTTCTCTTTTTTTTTTTTTTTTTCAATACTTTTATTTTTTCATTATCTATTATTTGCTCAAAATATTTTTTTCTCTTGCTATTTTGTTACATTTTATAGATTCATTACATAAAATGAAATGTTCTTCCCAATATATATCAATTTTACACCTTTACAGTATCCGTTTTCACCTTCTTTCTATTATTGATTATTTTAATTTGGTTTTTTTAATTAAATAAATAAATAAATACATGTTTTTCTAATTATTATTATTGATCAAAATCAAACATGTTCATATAATAAATTTAAACTCAAACGCAATATACACACATGATGATTAAATTTAAAAATTCTCATAATAAATATTAATTCATTTTGATGAACACGTGTGGACTTGGTTGTATTCACACATCTAAAAATGCGTTGTTTGATTATTTGTCCGTAGTGTTTGATTATTTTACAAATATGGACTCATTTTTGTCCTTAGTTTGTATGAAATGGTTTTTCCATTTCATTGTGTTAAAATAAGGTCTCTTAAAGCAGAGAGAGCGGGGAGAGAGAATCGAATATATATATTTTTTTGTCTCTGATATTAATTAAAACTTATTTTGAAGTTTAAAAATAATTTTTAAATAATTTCGAAATGGTTTTAAGGTGTTTGGAGATGAAATGGTATAAAAATCAGGTTTAGGAAGCCAAATCCAGCAATCCTTGATTTTTCAGCATCTTTACGATGACATTTGTTCGGCGAAAATTAAAGAGGCAATGCGTCTTTCGACCCCATTTTTTTTTTTTCAAGGTTGAATCATACGTGTCCAGCCGAAATGCACGGGCCTAATAGTTCCCAAGCATATTTGCGTGGGCTTAACCTTCTCGGAGCAGCCCAGCTTCCTTCCTTACTTTCTTTTCTTTTTCCTTTTTTCATTTTTTTTTTATCAATTGTTAATGGTTAGTTTTTTGATTATTTAATAAATTTACTAACTAAAATTAAACGATTTTCTAATATATATATTGATTTAGCATATTATTAGGGTCAGTTTTGGCCTCCTCCCTATTATTTGACTCTTCAAATTTGATTTATTTTTTTATTTTTATTGATCAAAACCAAACACATTTATAGAATATATTTTAAACTCAAACATAAAATACACACTATTATACACTACATAATATATATTAAATTAAAAATTCTCAAAATTAATATTGGTTTATTTTTATTTCATTAACTTAAATTTTTTAAATTAATTAAAATATAAAATAGTTTTACATATTATAAAACAAACTAAAACATGCATGGTTATCGTCTCAAACACCATTCACACACTCACAAATCAATATTCTTTTTATTATTCATGGCTTTTTTTACATTTTGATCCTCAAATTTTTTATACTGTTTTTTTCAATTTCAAACTTTAATTATATTATGATTTGCTTCCATTTTGTTTTAGTGTTTTGTGTTAATTATTTTTATTATTTAAAATTTACTATTTTAATTTGTCATTTTTTTAAAACATTTTCATCCAATTAATTTAAAATTATATGATCCTCAAATTATATATATATATATATATATATTAAATTTTAAAATTTAATTGTATTGTGATTTGGTCTCATTTTATTTTAGTGTTTTTTATTGATTATTTTTATTATTTAAAGTTTACTATTTTAATTTGTTATTTTTTTCAAATTCTTATCCAATTAATTTAAAATTACATTTGATAACAGCTTTTGATTTATTTTAATATTATTCATTCTTTTATAAATAAATATATAA